GAAAGTTCTAGTTGGTTTAATATTCTTAACATCCTTTGAGCCAGGGCGCTATCGCACCACATTCTCACTTCAAACGTTTTCAAAGGTCCCTGAAACAAGCAGCCCGCGACACCCACTGTTACCATTACAGATTTATTCAGAGCGGCAATGCGTACCTCCCTGGCCGGGGTGGCATTGATTTATGTACTGGGGTGGGGGTACGATTGTTTATAAGTCGGTTGGGGCATATTCGTTACTGAATATGTAGGGGGTGGGCATCGCTGGGATGAGAGGATGACAGCAAAACTCTTTCCTGTGATTGAGGAAAAAGCTGCAATCGGTAATGACACACAATGAGCGTGCTAGCATGCAAACATAAACGTGAATTTCATTACGATTTTACATGTACTGTATTTACTCGTGTATAAGTATAATTCATGTATATTATAAGTCTCACCCCATATTCTGCATTGAAAAGTTGGTACAAACATTGGTACATTAACAAGATTTCTTAGCCTCGTCTATAAGTCGCACCCCCTGATTTTTTTTATTGAGGTTGTGTACAAAAAGCGTGGTTTATACACAAGTAAATACGGTATATATATATACTCATACTGTAAGTGTAATACACACGCACGCACGCAAACGCGCGCACAGACACATGCCTAGGTATGTGCGAGCATATATGCATGCAGGGAATACTGGCAAAAATATGTGTATAATATATATATATATCTACATCTATCTATATATGTTATATATATATATATATCTATTTATATATCTATTTATATAATATAGATCTCTATATTATACACTCCTGATAATATGATATGCACTGAACCAAGAGGACATTAATGGCTCATAGATTGCACAAGTAAAATCAAAATTCGGACAAGTAAAAATTGCTTCTTGTTGCCCGACAGGACAACCAAATCTGAAAATAAGCGCTGAAGCCTGAGTTTATATAGCGTGCAATACTTGAGTTAGGTTTATATTGACTGTTTAACAGGGAAAAGTTGCCATTTTATGTGACAGCGCTCAGCGTTCTTCCCACGAACTTCAGAAGGCTTGACTTTTAAGTATGCATTGGGGTGTGCCCAGGAGGATCTTGTACAAATTCGTGCCAATTATGTATGTCATAAGCAGCCATAATACACAGGTAAACTTGATCAGTTCAGAGACCTAGATGCGTCATGCTGTAAAAACAGCAGGACTGTGGCTAAACACATACAACTGCATTATAATAAGTATGGGCATGGCCCATTTATATCATGTATGAGGCAGATTCAATAATTACATGATAGTAATTATATACCGATTGTATTTACTACCAAAGTTGTAATGTTTATTTACTCTCTTAGTCTATCATCTAACAATTCTAAGAATGTCATTAAAATACTTGTCTACAACACAGTATTACCACATGTATGCATGCTACTGTGCACAAACTTATAAAAGACAGGAAAGGTCAGAAAGCATTGAGCACAAAATTGGCACACCGCTCACTTCGTTTCAGACTATCACAGCACAAACAAACATCCACACATTTTGTATCTGTGTTTAGTCCAATGTTCACCTATTCGAATTATCACCCTTGCAGGCAAATTTAGTAATATCCTGCATGAAATTTGCTCTTTGTAGCAATTTAATTAGGAGCAACTACTTGTTTCTGTACATAACAGTGCAACACTGCCGCCACACTGCATACTAGGTTCAAGTGCTCCCCGCTTCCGAGTTCTAAGACAAGCTCTGCCACTTGCCTCTAAGCTATGCCAGAATGGTTTGCACAGAAGCGATGTTTATAAACACGCCTGTGTTCCTTTGCCAAACAATCGATTGCCAAAGCCAATATAGATTTCCAGATAATAAACAGGTACCGTAGTTGTTCTCTCATTTATATTTCTGCAGAGTAGTCTTCTGCAGGACATTATCAGATTTCTCTAGGTATACTAATTCTTCCCAAGTACAGTAAATGGTGATAATTCGAACATGTAAACACTTAGCTCTAGTATTATAGCCTGTGTTCATTAACTGCCGCAGGGCTATAGAACATTTTATGCTAGATTTCGCAACTGCAACCTGTTACCACCTGTTCCCACGAAAAATGGATTGCAAAACGCAAAATGATCGGGCTTTTTAACACTTATTTATCTACATGGACATCTCACCTATTTTTTTTAACA